CGAGATCAGCGCAAGAACCTGGACGGTCTTGCCCAGACCCATTTCGTCAGCGAGGATGGCGTTCTGTTCTTGCTGGTACCGATGGAGCATCCAGTTGACTCCCTGGAGCTGGTATTTCATAAGCTTGCCACGCAGTCCCGACGGCCGAGCCTCGAGTTCGACCTCCTCTTTGAAGCTTTTCGCCTTGAATTGTTTGACGCGCTCTCTTATCTTGGAAGAGGGTTCCGACTCGAAGTGCACGCCGTTGACGTATTCGATGTAGGCGGCCTCGAACGCCTGGTATGTCGCAGACCCTTCGCTTGGCGGGCTGTCCCAAACAACCTCCTCATAGGCAAGGCCTTGAAATTTGACGTAAATCTCGGCGACGTGGGATATCCGGGCCAGGTCCTCCTCTTTCGAGGTAGCGCGCGGGGCTGACTTGCGATACCTTACCTGCAGAATCACATCCGCGAGGAGGAACTCTTGCGGGATGGCGTCTTCCTTGTTTTGCCTCATAAGACCATTCTGGGCATCACGTTTACCAAAGGCGGAACGCATTATGGGGCTAGCAACCCCAAAGACCCAGGCTCCTGGCATCCATGTACAGTGGTAGTACGACCGTCCCTCCCACTTAATCAAGTATTCCTTATGGTCCTCGCTGAGTTCTGACCAAGTCAGGTTGCTAGCAGGCGCGGTCTTCGTCGGGCGCCAGGCAACGAGAGCGTGGATCTTGCTTCTCATAGTCGAGCAATCTGTACATTTGAAGTCGGCTGAATATTCGTTAAGGCGTTCGTCCTTGACGTCCTTCAGATCGGAATCTGCTGCGCGTGTTGTAGGCAGGTGCTCGATGTGCCAAGGCCGCCGGCACCCAACACACCGGAAGAGAACGTTATCAGCGTTGTTCACCAGGTCAGTACGGACGGGGGTAATGGGGTCTTCCCCCCCATTTTCCTTCCTGATGGCCTCTTCCTGCCTCGACGTCTTCTTCTGCGAGAATGGGGCGCACGAAGGCCCGACCTGTCTGCAGGCTTGGCACATGCTCTGAAGAGGGGCGGCCTTATCCTTAGCCCTCGCGCGGCCGATACAGAAGCGGCACTGAAGGACGAAGTCGTCGGCTCCAACCTTTGTGACCATGTGCTCCCTCGTCTGGCGAATTCCGATACACATCTTATGGTACGTCACCGTACAGCCCTGGCAGTAGACCAGGCTCCCCCGACTCAACGATTGGCCATGGTTGCAGACGTCGCAGGTGGACATGTGAAACTTGGCGAATTTGGAATCATCCGGCAACGGTTTGAAGACTTCCTTGATAGCGGTCACCTTTGGGGCGCTGGGGGCTTTATCGTCAGATACGTAGAACGAGTCTAAATCGGTGGGATCAGCCATGGTTTTCATGGTCCTCGTCTTTCGTCCTGACCGCCGTGGGTTCTCAAATTCTATAGAGGAGCCTCGGGATCGCGGGAGGGGCGCTGTCGGTTTTGATCTTAGCCGTTTCGAGCGCTTTCTTAGCCTTCCCTTCGTCGGTCCAGGGTTCAGGTCGGACCTAATGATCTGGAAGTCGTCGTCGTCGTCATCGCTAGACGCCAGCGGCTGCGGGGTGTCCCCGGCCAGCTCGTCCACATCGTCCCTGGCGCGGCCCTGAGGCACTAGGCCAGTTATATTCCGCGGCCGCAGCGTGCGAGCAGGGCGCTTGCGCTTCGGACTATCTTCTCTAACGATCCAATCCGAGAGTATGTTTGGCTGTTGCCGAACTCGAAGTGTGCGGCGGACAGGCCTAGTGCGTGGAAGGTCATCGTTTTCCTCGTCTGAAGACTTGTTGTTGTCTAAGAACTTGTTATCGTCCGAGGACCCGGCTTCCGAGGTGATGTCGGTGTCACTGGAGAGTCGTCTCCGCTTCGTGCCGCGGTGGCTGATGGAGGAGCTAGCCGAGCCATCTTGGTGGGCTGCAAGGGCTTCCGAACCGTTTTCTAGACTGAGCAGCTCCTCAAATGGTACCTACACACGTGGTAGGTTAGTACCAGAGTATATATCTAGCTTGTGCCAGCATGCGACTGAGCTTACGATATCATGGCGACCATCTCGGAACTCAACCTGGTAGAACACTCCCTTCTGTTCCACCCCAACAACTTCGCTTACAACCCTTTCCACCACATCACTGTAGATTTCCTCGTACGCTTGCTGTTTCTTCTGTGACAAGGCAGGCACGGAGACGACGATTCGTACCCGAGGCGTTTCTCGGTCGCTGGGTATCTCGTCCTCGGCAGTGGCGTCCAGTGGCTCCGTGAGGCTCCTTCTGCTCGGCGCGGACAGAATCTCGCTATCGTCTGAATCATCCATATTGTTGGGGCATTCTAAATAGTCGTGTGTTGAGAGAATTCGTTTCGTTTGCGATTTCCAGGAAGCCTGGGAGGTGATTCAATTCCAGAAAATTGGGCCCGCTGGAATGCGCATGGCATATGAAGTCAAGTCGCGTGTGGGGTTGGTTAGCGCGTTCCGCGAGTGGTGGTGGGAAGGTTTGGGTAATAGGCTATGATATAATTAGAGTGCGCCGCTAAATTGAGAAAGACCAATGTACTCTCGTACCTTCTTCCTTAGTCTGGTCTGGAAAAATAAATTCCTAGTCAGCTCTGGAACGGTGCAACCGTATTGAAGGAACAACACATTCTTTTGATACCGCATTCTTTATTATCAAGACTTTCCACATGCTGGGTAGTCTCGATACAGTCCTCGCACCTTCCCTCCTCCGTTTCTATCATACATCCCTCATGCAATGATACGGATATCCGGTCTGGCGCCTCGCGCCGCGTTTCCTCTTTCCACCCGCCTCCAGAGCCCACGGCACCTTCCTCACGTTGCGTGGGCCTCCTCCTTGTCTGCTATCCACCGCGGGATACACAGGGGCAACAGTAGCGGCCGACAAGACTTTAACAGACCATCGAATCCGCGAGGATCCTCGGGACCACGCTCTGGAGGCCGACAAGACTTCAAGAGACCATCGAACCCCCGGGCGCGCTCAGGTCCCCCTAACGGCCGGCATGACTTAAAAAGGCCTTCTCAGGCGCGAGCATCCTTGGGACCCTCGAGGCTCTCGGCGGAGCAAGGGCGCGCTGCGTTTGTTGACGGCGATACTCAGCCCGGCCGGCAGACTCGGCGAAAGCGATTCATCGACCCCAATTCTGACTTTGGAAAGAAGAGCCTGGTCTATCGAATCAAGTACGGCGATCTCAAGGAAAAGGCGGATGACATTCTCTCGAAGAAAGAGCAGGAGCAGAATGACATTCGGAACGGGGGCAACTCAGGAAGGAACACGCGATCGGAACGAAGAGATTCTAGAGGCCGAGGAGAAGGAGGGAACCCCGACACTATATCCCACCAGTCGCCTCGCGATGACCCTAAGCCAAGGCAGAGGGACGCTGTGGGGCGAGGAGAAGATGGTCCCTGGGATGCTATGGCCCGTCAGTCGCGACTTACCAGGGATAGTACTGGTGGGCGGGGAGAACGAGGTCGTTCGGAGTTTGGGTCCCGACGGCCGCCGGCGCGCGAACACCCTCAACCGCGGCGAAGGGACGACAGGGGCCGAGGTGGAGATGAGGGTGGAGCTCGTCGGCCGTGGGCTCCCCGAGAACACAACGAGGGCGAGGCCAGCGTGCAGACACGAGGTCCTAAGAGGCACGCGCATCCCATATCCCTACGACGCACCACCGCCGCATCGCAGTTCTTATTCGGCTCGTCCGTCGTCACTGCGGCGCTGACGACGAGCCGGCGAAAGCTCTACCATCTTTACATCCTGGAAGGTGGGAAGCGCGGACCGGAAGGCGCGGGATACAACTCCCCGAGGGCCCTGGCGGAACGACGCGGAGTCCCCATCACGATGGTCAAGGACCAAGGGGCAGCCTTGCTGGAGAAGATGAGCGGCGGAAGGCCCCATAACGGCTACGTCCTCGAGGCCTCCCCCCTCCCGCAGCTGCCCGTCACGTCCCTTGGCCCCCCGGGGCCGAACCCCTGGAAGCCCGAGTTTGAGGTTGTACTCGGCCGCCAGTCGAGGGAGGACGAGGCTATCAACGGGACGGGCACGACCGTCCACTGCCAGCCCAAGAAAAATCAGAAGCCACTGGTACTACTCCTCAACGAGGTCCTTGATCCCGCCAACCTCGGGGCCATGATCAGGTCAGCATGGTTCCTCGGGGCGAGCGCGGTAGCCATCACGGCGCAAGGATCTGCAACCCTAACGCCCGTCGCTCTGAAGGCATCCGCCGGAGCTGCGGAAGAAATGCCAATTCTCTCCGTGGAATCAGCTATGGATTTCATCACGGCTTCCAAGGAGGCGGGATGGAAGTCCTATGCCGCCGCGCCTGCCATACTAGGAAAGGACAAGAAGAAGACGACGATTAAGCAGCTAGAGGAACAGAACCCACTCGCCGAGTCGCCCTGCATTCTCATCCTGGGAAGCGAGGGGCAGGGCCTCCCCAAGCCGTTGCGACGAGCGGCTGATTTCGAGATCTCCATTCCCGGGGCGTCCAGGTCGTCCGTCGATAGCTTGAACGTCAGCGTTGCTGGCGGCATTCTGTGCAACGCGTTCCTCAACCCGCATCCGGCCGGGTCAGCCAAGGGATCCCAGAGCAAAGTGGCCGAGACCGACGAGGTAGAGCATGCCGAGGGAGAGGTGGAGGAGAAACAGCCGGGCAAGAGCACGGACAAGGGTGGCCTTTTCTAATTTTGGCCTGATGTACGATGGTGATGGCGCATGCCGTAGGAAGTTCTTTGTAAGAATATCGAACTAGAGGGCTGTGTAGAATAAGGTTATATTATGTATGATACGAGAAAATTTCATAGATCTAGAGAAATGTCCTTTGCGAAACATTCAGAGGGACCCCTGTTCCAACAATGATACTCCAGGACCCCGATGTGCGGCGTAGCGATTGATATGAATATCTGCTCCACAGAAGTTTGTGGTGCATGACCATCGTTAGTATGGTCTTACTTATTCCTCCACGGTGAGGAAGTCATCACATAAGAACAACGGCCTTGTGGCCTAATGGTAAGGCGCCACATTTCGGTTCAAAATCGAAAATTACAAATTCTGTGGAGATTGTGGGTTCGAATCCTACCGGGGTCGTTCTTTTTTGAACCTTTTGCACATCTCGAATTCACTCAGTAACACGAAAACCGGAGGCAACAAGGCCTTGAAGGCTGAAGTCATCGTCAACGCAAGATCTCTCCATTGTTCAAGAGCTCAACCGGACGATACGTTATCTTTAACAGCTGTACTTCGTTGGGTAGGTGACCAGGGGGTGGGTGCCGAAAAATACAGCCGTCTCCTGCCTGCCAGAACGGAACCCTGCACCATGATTCAGGTTGGAGAGCTCGAACGTGCTGGGATCCGGGCATGCCATTATTCTGATTCCTCCCAATTTCGTTCCATGTGAGGACCCAAGGTCACAGGATCGGTCCATGGAGGAGCCGAGGCAGGTGGATCCGCCTGCCAATATTACTCTTAGGCTGGTAGGCATTCTTCATATCCTCCCGCTGTTGCTGTAGTGCGTGGTAGTCTCGGCCTTTCGCATCCTGGATACTCTCTTCGGCACCGTGGTATAGCAGCTCGCTTATAACCGAGTCCTTATCCCAGTGCGCCGCCCGGTGCAGCGCCGTCTGCCCCTCCTTGTTCTGGAGGTCAATATCTAGGCCGCTGCCCAAGAACGTCTGGCACAGCCAGCGCACCACCTCGAGGCGGCCCCATCCAGCCGCTATCATGAGTGCCGTGTTGCCCTCCTCGTCGCGGATGTTGACGTTGAGGTCCGGAAACCTCGATCGCATGTGTTTGAGCATGTCCAGGTGGCCCCACGACGCAGCGAGCATAAAGGCCGTGCTGCCCTTGAACTCGTCGCACTCGTTGATGTCGACGAGCTGGCGGGTTTCAGCTTCCGTCATCTTGCAGACTTCGTCAAAGATCTCAATGTCGCCGCCTCTGGCTGCCCACAGGACCGCCGATCGTTTCGAGTGACACTCGTGCTGGATTTGTGCCCCCCTCTTTAGGAGCTCGCTGGCGATTATTCGGTATTTATCCCGGCTGTTGTTGCCCAGGGTGTATGACAGTGGCGTCCCGCCGCCGTCATCCGTCATCGACTCGCCGATGTTGATGTCGGCGCCGTTATCGATGAGCTTAAGGGCGCACGAGCTATGACCCTTCAGCGAAGCCCAGAGGAGCGCTGTCCGGCCCCACTCCTCGCGCCGATCGATCAGGTCCAGCGAAGTCATCTCGCGTAGCTTCCTAATAATGTTGTCGACGATGGGAACCCGTCCGTAGCGTGCGGCCCAATGTAGGGCCATCTTTCCCCGCCTGTCCGTGATAGTAGGATTGGCGCCCTTTTCGAAGAGATAGACCACCATGTCATTGTGTCCCCACCCGCTCGCCCAGTGAAGTGGCGTGGAGCCCTTGATGACGCACCTCTGGTTGACCAGTCCCGGAAACCTGTCAATCAGGAAATGCATTATCTCGCTGCGGCCCTTCCCTGCCGCCCAGTGAACCGGCATGTGGCCCTGATCGTCCCCGATTTCCACATCGGCCTTTGCCTCTACTAGGAGCCTCACGCAGGCAGTGCTGGCCGTGCTGCCGCCCTTGTGGTCATTCCAGCCGATCACGGCCCGGTGCAGCGGCGTCATGCCCCGCCCGTCCTGGGCGTTGACCTTCACCATCTCGCCTTGGCTCAGTAGCATTTGCAGGACTCTGTGCCGGCCGAGCTTTCCGGCGTAGTGCAGAGGCGTGCCCTTGAACTGCGTCTCCGTGTCCGCCTTGGCCCCGTGGTCGAGCAATATGCGCAGGATCAGCACTTGCTCCCGTTCTGCTATCTTACTGTTTCCCAGTGCGAGACATATGGCAGCTTCGCGCCCCTCGTGCAAAGTCGAGCGCGAGAAGACGTCCGCCATGGCCAGCACAGACACGTGGACAGCTACCGGCAAGCCTTGCATTGAGGCGCAATGAAGTGCTCTGTTCTTGAACTCTTGGGTCATAAAGGTCGACCGAATGTTCCCCATTATCCACCGAATGTGTCCCAACATCGACTGGGTGTATCCCAACATCGAACTACCCCATGCACGGGAACGACTACCCGAATTTGCTTTTAGTGGCTCCTGTTCTTGGCGCTCAAGGTCGCTTATGAGATTTTTTTTCCAGTCACACAAAAGATCCACGAGCATCCCTCCCTGCTTCGGATCGAGCAGGGCTTTGAGTTCATGCCTGCGACTTGGGTTGGTCTCGTTCCATCTGAGAGAGACATGGTGCTTCATGTATTCAAGAACATAGACGAGGAACGGGAATTTGTTGAGCATCTCCATGAAATCGTTGATTTGTTCTTTCTTGTTGTCGCGGGGAGAGTGTTCCATGCCTTTCGACTCACGGTTTGCCAGCTTCAAACACGTGAAGCATGTTTCTTCTAGCGTCGTCTTCTCGTTTGGTCCGTTACTTTCGACAATTGGATTCCCTCCGATCTTGGGGTTCCTTTTCACCAGGAATTTTTTGGCCGAAGGGTGTAGGAACTGAACTGTTATCTCTGTTAGGATCTTCTGTCAAAGGCTGGATTGGAATAGTCGGGCCTGAGTAACCCACCAGTTCTTTCTTCGCTATCTTCTCGAGCCTCGAGAAAGTTTCCACTGATTTTCATAATCTTCCCCGCCATATCTTCTTTTCGGAAGTCGTCGAGATAGTCAGAAGATCGGCCGTCAGTCTTCGACAACACTTCGACTTTTGGCTGGACCCACGCGTGGGTGAACTCGTCCAAAGTAAGGGACCTCCCTACATTTACGGCGATACGGAATATTCTCCCCGCTGACGTTGCGAGTCCATTGTTGTCCTTGACGTTGGCCATCACCCTTTTCAAGAGCTTTTCGTAGAGATCCTCGACTTCCTGCAGCCCATCTGATCCTTTCCCCGGCTTTACCAGGCCCTCAATGAACATCTCAATATCTTTGTAGCCGGCTGGGTGGACTCCGTCCGTGCAGCTCTTTACTAACACAAGCATGGCAATCTTCGCCCACAGAAATATGTTGCTCGAGTTGCGGGCAAGCTGTGTGCTCAGCTCTCTTACCTGGTTAGAGTCCAGGTTCCAACCATACCTACGGCTGGCATCTTTGAATCTCTCTAGCACGTACGCGAGGATGTCCTCGTAGTTGCTTTTATCCTGCTCAATCGTGAATACACGCCCCTGGGTTCCATCCACACCGTTCAAAACTCTCTGGATCGTAGTGTCAGGCTGCATGGCCAGGAGGAGCTTGAAGACCCACTTGCTCTTTGTTCCAGATTGAAATAGTCGGACAAGAACCGTTTCGGCGCATTGCAGAGGTTTGTCAGCTTCGTCAAGTCCATCTACAACCACGTACGCCTTGACGGGGGCGGGATGATTCAACAAGCTCTCGAATATTCTGTCCAGTGCATCTTCTGGCCAAATATTTCCGTCCTCGTGTGTTTCTGACGGGGAGTAGTGACTTCTTAATTCGTCCGAGTTGCTGGAAGATGTAGCCCGGTTCTCTGAGTCCACTCCCTCCTTGAGCTTGAGGAACTCCTCCTGATAATGAGGGTAGAGAGAGGTATTGTGCTTAAGAAGCTGGTATAGCAAAGCCTGAAGCATAACATGTCGGGACCGGAGAGCTTCGAATCGTGAGCTAAAGAAGAAGGTCGCGAGGATTGCCGATTCCTTTTCGGCGATAGTTTTGAGGTGTTCTTCCACAAAGAAGTGGCACAGAACGCTCTTCCCTGACTGTGGTTTTCCGAGAATCTGGAGCTGGGCGTGGCCATCCGCAGAATGCCACTTCCTTTTCTGTTCACTTTTCTCGACCCAGGACAAGGTATCTTTATGTCGCTCGGCAATCTCGAGGAGCTTGGTAGGACCTTTGTTTGTCACGGACTTGACAGCGTTGCTTTGCAGCAAATAACGGAGGCATTCTAAATGAGTACGCAAGCCAAAAGTGAGTCTCGGCCCTTCCATTCCGTGCCTATATCAGTATGCCAAGATAGGGTATCATACCTTCGACTTCCTTGTTGGAGACTTCGATGAAGTCTCTGAAGAGGCCCCTCAAATAGTGGCGCTCTTCATGCGTGACGAGAAGCTTGCAGCTGTACCTGTTCGCCAGCCACATGTTTAACCTCTGGACACAGTGAATAAAGCGACCTAGGCCTGGGCTCGCAGGAATGCTGTGGAGGTCACTGATGACAATCATCAGCGGCTTGACTTTCAAGCCGCCTTTTTCGTCGCGGAGAGCGTTGGTTAACGTATCTGTGATTGTGCGTACAATCTCGGACCCGAGATGCTCAGCGGCGGCTTGTAGTCGATCCACCAGATCTCCGTGTGCTATCAAAGTCTCCGTCGACTCGGCAGTATCGCGCATTATCCGATTCAGAAGCAAGGCGCAGGTGCTCGTGAAAGCTTTTTGGCCACTCGAGCCTGGCGCTTTCCACGAGGACACAATGAAGTGAAATAGGGAGAGCATCAGAGCCACAAGAGGCACGCCCTCCGCAACTTCATCGCTGTCTTCGGGGATCAAGATGTCTAGCTTGTTGCACTCGACATGGAGGATATGATAGCGAGGGCAGCAGTTTCGAAGTGCTTCGCATAGATGAGAGAGATGCCACTCTTTGCCTCCAATGATGCGAAGGCATTCTGGTGTGTCGGAAGTCTGCCAGCGAATGAAATGCTGATTCCGAAGTACGGCGAAAAGTAGGGGCTCTTCAACGTTACATGCAGCGTTTTGTGCGTCAGTCCGAGGCGAGTAAATCGTTATCGACCCTTTTGCAGGCTGTCGAAGTTTTCCCAGAAATCTGACCGGCTTAAAATCAATATTGTTGGGCATTAAGCGACATTCTTCCCCACCGATGACAGGTTCTGAGCTTGTTTCCTTGTCTGAAGGGCTGTTGACCTCCAGCTTGGGGTGTAGTGGCGGCTGGTCGCGAACGACTGGTTTCTGCGCCGGGTAGAACGCGTGAACTAGTTCCCAAATGTTGTCGACGATTTGCTGGTACAGTATGTCGTCGTTTCCGGCGAATTGCGCCAATCCAAAAACTCCCACGTCATTTTCAGTGTACGGTGTCTTGAGGGGGCCGATAACTCTGGTGTTTCGTTCGTCCAT